AATTCATGTGTCTAGACCACAGTCAATTTTATGTATTGTTTGTTTGGTTGGGACAGTTCATGTTCCTGAACACATCACTCCGGATTGTAGCCTTGGGCTAATTTGCAGCCATTGTCCCACATTCGCACACAAGCACTCATTCACCCTGAACTATTGCACATGTTTTTAGTGTGCAATAGTCATAGATGAAGAAACTTGTTTGAATAATAGTAAATAAAAAATTGGTCAAATGCAGTTTACCTTTCACTTCCGTGTAATAAATTAACTATAAAACTAATGGAAGCTGAATTTTCTCACAAAACTGGTCACCAATGATTAGCAACTAAAAACCGCTACAAAAGATGGGGCTTTTTGTGATTTATTCACCATTGTCCTATGTCCATATAAATACGTTTTGAGAGTGGATAAAATAGCATTAGCCGTGCTATTTACAGGACAAATACAGTCAGGACAATGGTTTTTATTGACAAAAAAAATTAGATTTACAATTCATTCTGTGTTTTAATCACGGTTAAAAACGTTTTACAGTTAGCTACAAATGTGAGTTTAAATGTATACAGTGGTGGAAGTAGTTCATCCGAGGTGTGAATGTAATGTCCAACTTCGATCACAAGATGGAGCCGTTTTCGAATCTCCACCATATCTGATTCCATTCTACATGTTTACTCAAGTTCTGTACTCCAGAAAGTACACATTTTGAATTTTAGAAAAACTCAGGAGATCCATAAAACCTAATTAAAAACTCATTAAAAACCATTTCTTTTCTCTGTCATATCCTGTTTTTTTTCCACATAAAAGCAGCACAATCTAATCTTTCGAATGCTGAGATGTTTCTGAGCAGCCTTCTGTCTCTGTACGGCCTCGGGATGACGGCACAGAGATGACATCAGTGGCTCCGGACGCTCCTCTACACAAAGAAACTGTAGCTATTGTCGAGGCCACAACACAAAGGACCTCACAACAACAGAGGGAATGAGATAGAGCTGCCTGTAATGATACAATCAGCCACAACAATACGACCACCTGGTTTAGAGCTTTCAAAGTTGAAGCCGCTGTGTTAGAATGATTGATCCTCTGAGCCTAAGAGCGTTCACAGCTGCGTATATGAAGTGTACTAAACCCAAAAGTCTCAAATCAAATCTAGACTTGTTTAAATCCACAAAGTTTTTCCCACTTTGAGAACAACACTTTTACTCTCCATGTGGTCAAATTGTTTTGGTTGATTACTGAACAAAGACTAGATCTACGTCGACTGAACAAAATCCAGTTATCAACAGCACCTCCTGCCGCACAGTCCGCTCTCTGGATCCTTCTTAACACTTCCCAAAATCCTTCTTAAAAACCACTTCAATTCAAACTTCTTCTAAACCCGTTCTTTCCTCACACGACAAAACCAACATCGTCTCACGTTTCAAACCTTTTACAATCAGGGTTCCCACACTTTCTACCGAGAAAAAAGTTAGAAAAAGTAGTAATATTAGCGTTTGATTCGATTCATTGTATTTTTGTATAGCCGTCATCAGGAGGACTTTACAATTCCTCAACAACAGATCAGAGAATCAAACCGTTCCAACACAGGAAGTGCAATATTAACACACACAGACATTAGTCCATAGGGAGCGGGACGACCATAAATGTCCTGGATCGTCGCTAAACTGGGGTTTATTGCAGACATTGATATAAAAGGAAATAAAATAAACTGATCAACAATAAATTTAAAATCTATATTATTCTTAAAAACAAGTAGGAATAGTTTTTGTTCCACTCCCAAGCACACAGAAATCACAGAATGCATTGTGACATAAAGCCAATGTCAATTTATGCTACTCAAGAATTCAGATATTAGACAAAAAAAACAAATTTACAAAAAATGTGAATGAAATAAAATACAAATTCTGAACAATTCATTTAAAATTCTACAACATGTTTTGTCTTCTAACGATGTGGGAACCCTGAGATACAAGACGTACTTTCCATAATCCTTCAAAATCCTACTTCAAAACCCAAAACCAAACCATCAACCTCCGCCATCACTAATAACCTCTTCAAATTTCAACAGATTTCAACATTTTTCCAGTTAAAAAGAAGCACAATATTTACACCCGAGTCCAGCGCATAAATAGAACAAGGTTTTATAATAAAGTTAGATTCGAGTCCTGAGTAATGGAGACACATAAACAACTTCAGGCACCGTAGAAAAAAAACAAAAACATGAGATTATAGTAAATGAGGAAGTGCTAAGTCATGGACATAAACAGAGAAAGAGGAAGTGATTTTTGTCGGAGGAAATCGTAAATAAGTGCATCTGAACAACGTGTGCTGAGAATAAAAACAGCAGAAATGATTATTTGTTATGTTGCGAATTTAAATATTTTTGTCAAGGGGATAATAATTTAAAACACCACAAAATAGATTTTTATCTGTGTGAGAAAGAACTGTAGTACTTTAGAAATTCTTTAAAAGTTAGCGTGATAAGAAATTGTGAGCTTTTGCATGGCCTGTAAATAATGTATGTATAGTTTCACAACACAACTGTGAAATGTAACACACAGTGATACTATATTTAATACAATGGGGCAGGCAGTCAAACTCATTTAGCTCAGGGGCCAAATGACCAAAATATAAACTGGTCAGAAGTCGAAAGAACAGAGGGGATTTTCTTTCTTTCGTATATCACACATTGACATTTATTTATTGTTGGATTGAACCAAAACTGGACCAAATATTAGGTTAAACACATACCTCTTTACTTATTCACTTATAGTTGTTTTTGTTTTATATGGGCTATTTGTGCGTCTGAATTAAAGACTACAACTAAAATAAAATAAATTAACTTCAATGGATGTTTTGTTAAAAATGGTAGAATAGATGAAATGTGGTTGTTTTCATGAGAAAATCGATAAATGTTATTACTCTAAATGAAAATTACTTTAGGGGCCACTAAAAATAGTCTTGCACGCTGGATTTGGCCCACGAGCCGGAGTTTGACATCCCTGCTTTAGGGGAAGACATTAAGATATTAACTTTTTTAAAATTATGGTAATTAAATATGTTTAGCAAAAGCCTGTGGGAATGTAGGGACAAAAAAACTAAACAAAAAACATGAAAATCATTCTTTTTCATTGGAAGTGCAATAGGAATAGTTTAGAATCAAATTTAAACGTATAGAAAACTACGCAGTCATTCGTTGTGCTGTATTAACCACTGCTTGGCCCTTAATTAACAATAAATGCTGGTTTTGCAAAATAGTTATTGCTGTTAAAGACATTTAAAACATATATTGCATAGAAAAATACCACAAACATTCAAAATACTAGCCTTCATTTGAACCGGGGGCGACTAACACTCATCCAGGAGTGGGCTTTACAAATCCCCCTTTAAAAATATTCAACAATTAAACAGCTATTATTAAATACTTTAGATTACACACAGCGCTAATCTGGAATTATGTACAAACTTTAATCAAGAGGAGACGGTCAAGTGTTTGGTATTTAAGAGGCTGTAAAATGACAAGCTAGCAGGGGCACAAAGGACGAGCTGGACATTAGCATTAGCATTAGCGGTATTCACACACAACTTAATCTACCAGCAATAGCAAGTGTCTTTACTCAAATTCACTAGTTCTCAACTGATTTTGAAATTGAACCAAATCGAGAAAAGTGAATTTTCCTTTATGATAAATACTGAGTCATTGTTTGGATTTGCTCCAAAATATAGTTTTATAAATCAGTCAAACAAATGAGTGAGATTTGCCTATAGATATGACATTGTCCCAGAGTGACAGCTGCTAATTTGCGCTAACTCATGCTAATTTAAGATAACAGTTGCTAATCTGCGCTAACCCATTCATATTCAGGCTACAAGGTGCGAATTCGCGCTAACTCATGCTAATTTAGGCTAACAGCTGCTAATTTGCGCTAACCCATGCAAATTCAGGCTACAAGGTACTTATTTGCGTTAACTCATTCTAATTTAGGCTACCGGGTGCTAACTCATGCTAATTTGGGCCAACTCTCAGTCCAAGCCACCACAATGTGACAGGAAACTGATCTTGGGCCTGACATTTACTAACTAGCTTTGTTCAGACTCTTATTCACCAAACACTTGACGGTCCCCGATCACAAATGCATCTCGTGTGTCGTCTTTGGCTGAAATGCGGAGCTTATAGTCGATTATAGAGAATGTGGCAGTGAGCATAGAGCTGCTGGTTTTGCACCGTCTGAAAGTGCGTATGACAGGTTCCCAAGACTTTCAAATTGTGACTTTATTTGGCAGTATTTGATATGACACCTGCTGGAAATATAGACAATAGTTTTGCACCAATCAGGAAGCAGCTTGCAAAATAGAGATGGAGGAAAAAAAGAGGGAATATCAAGATCAAAAACAAGGATAAGGAGAAGCAGAAATACTACCAAATGAAGGCACAACTTAAATGTATTATTTTGACATTTAAAACTCTCAATCAATAACAAATATTCTTCTTGTAATTGTCAATAAATATCTGTTCACCCAGTTAACAAGGTGTCTGTGATGTCATCATTTTACAAGCAGGAAGTGGAGCAAGGTTTGTCAAATTTTGTGAAATCTGAAACATAAAAGTAATTTAGCAACAAACAAAAATGTTTGCGTTTCTAATTTGAGTTTTGAATGTGTCATTGTCCCTGAGTAACAAGTGCTAATTTTGGCTAACTCATGCTAAATTTAGATGATAACACAAGCTAATTTTGGCTAACTCATGTTAACACGTGCTAAATTGGGTTACTTTATACTAATAATTCATGCTAATTTGTGAAAAGTCATGCTAATTTTGGATGACACCGCAAGCTAATTCAGGCTAAATTGGGCTAATTTTGGATCCTATGTTTTTGAAATTTAGTGAAATCTGAAATATTATAGCAATTTATCAAAACGAGTCGTCCATACCTGTCATACGCACCGCACAATATTGACAACAACAATAATAAAACAATGTAAAAGCTGGTAGTAAACGCACACAGATTTCAAAAGTCCCCGTCTTCTTCCAGCCTGAACTTTTTGGCGTGTGCGTGGGGAGACTCCAGCACGTTCTCCTTGTCCTCGGTGTCCTCCGGGGGAATGGCCCACTTGGTTCCACAGCTGCGTTCTCTGACTGGTCGCAGGCCACAGGAGAAATCGCAGCTCAGGGACAGAGGCTGCTGCCACAACCAGGGGTGGCTCATGCACTCGGCGGCACTGGGACGGTCCCTGGAGAGGAGCAGTGTGTGTTAATACATTTATACAACTATATATGGACTTAAATCTTCCTTCTGCAGCACGGATTTTAAAAGCACCTGAAACTCTAATGCATAAACACTTTGACTTTGGTTTGGAACAGAGCTGTGGGAACCTCCTATAACTCACTCCTTGTCCTGTCATTACTTCTCCTTTCGTTATTAGTGAAATATTCTACATTTGAGAAATACCTTTTTGCTGATTAATATGTACTATTATTGGTGCATGGGAAAGTTGAGTGTGTTCTCGATGCTCTGCGGAAATCCTGATTTTGAGAACTTTTATTGGCGTAACATAGCCTCCGAGAGACACCATTTATTTTACCATCTAATAATCCACAAGTCAAAGCACAGGGCAGGTCTTTTAGTGGACTTTAGGCTTCATTGACTTTAAGATTCACTTGGTATTTGAAAAACTAGAAACCAGAGATGTCAGCTAAATCAGCCTCAGTCCATCTCTATCCATGTATGTCACTGTATATCTCAATTCAATTCAATTAATTCATGTTTGAATAGCCCTAAATCACAACAACAGTTATCTCGGAGGACTTTGACCAAAGGATCAAATAGTGGCTGCTTCTCATATGCCATCTTTGAATGAGGTGGTGTTTGGTGAATGTTTTTATCTTGTTTAAACTTTAGGACCCACTTTCTATCTGAAAAACTAGATGCCAGAGACACTCAGAAGGCAGCTACACTAAACCCAGTCAATCTTTATGTATGTCTCTGTATTCCATATTATCTACTTCACATAGTATGTCCAAACTAAGGCCCAGGGGTCAATTGCGGCCCTCTGTGCTACGTCAGATGGCCCTCTGTCTTTCTAACCCAAATCAGCCATTAAGATCATGTCATCCAACTTCAGCTCCACCATTATAGACATGCTCTACCTCAGTGTGAAGGTCAGACTCTTTGGAACTCAGTCGTGAATTGTATTTGTGTATAGAGTTGTAGAATTGCAGATACGGCGCTAATGTAGCCATGAGAAAGTAAACACTAGTCTGTTTAATCTGTCAAATGTGAATCTATTTGGATTTATCATTCCTCATTTCAACTCAGAACAGCCTGATCCAGTCAAAGCTGTTATCTGTGTTGTCGGCTCCTTAGATAAGTCGGGTCAACTGCAATGGCTCTCTTATTAAAAAGTTTGGACACCCCTGATTCAAAACGTGATCTTGTTTGTGCTTGGTGAATGCTTCAGTCTTGCTAAAACTCACTCTGGGGCTTTGACCAGCAGTTTCCTGATGAAATCCACCGCGAGTTCGCTGACTCTGGAGAAGGACTCGCTGCTGTAGTCCACGTTGACCTGAGACACGTTCAGATACGTCTCCTGTTTGTCGTCTCCCACAAACGGACTCTCCCCGGTCACCAGCATGTACGCGATCACACCCACGCTCCTAAAGCACATGGTTAAGATTTAGATGAAGAGATCCTGTGTTTGTTCCACAGTGGAGATATTTCAGTGTTGCATCACTGGTTACGGAACAGTAGGAATGAGGACAATAACAACTTAAAATCTCTAGCTTTATTATAATAAAGAAGAAACCAAGTATAAAATCTGTAGCGTTAGTATGATAAAGAAGCAAGTATAAAATCTGTAGCGTTAGCATAACAAAGAAGCAAATCTAAAAAACCCTATATGTGTCAAAACATTGTAAACGTTTGAAAATGTGTCAAAACATTGTATCCTATAGCTACATGTATTGACATTGTTTGCTATTGGCAGTAAAATGGACTAAAATAGACTGTGGTGAAGAGTGACGAGTCTGGGTTTGAGGCGGTGTTCAAATATAAATATACAGTTTGGATTTGGACTCACCAGAGGTCTGTGGCTGTGGTGATGGGCTCGTAGTTCAGGATTTCAGGGGCTGAAGACAAAGCAGAAGGCATTACAGATCAGAGCTCATACAATGGGCTCAAATCTTAGTTGCAAGCCCCAGTTGTAATAATGAGTAAGAGAGTCATAATGATAAGATGACGACACTCAAGGATACTGTATAAAACTATCAGTGTTGAGGCATAAACACAGGACCATCAATGCCAGCAGACGTTTAAAGAGCTCAGACATATTACAATACAATGCCACGAGGGTAAAGAAAAAAAAAAAATCTCATCATTGAAGGACCAAAAGCTGCGGCTATTTTTATGTATTTTGAACCCTGCTTATAGCAAGGTGCATCTTATAGCAAGGTGCATCTTATAGCAAGGTGCATCTTATAGCAAGGTGCATCTTATAGTAAGGTGCGGTTTATAGTAAAGTGCATCTTATAGTAAGGTGCGGCTTATAGTAAGATGCGGCTTATAGTAAGATGCGGTTTATAGTAAGGCGCATCTTATAGTAAGGTGCGGCTTATAGTAAGATGCGGCTTATAGTAAGATGCGGTTTATAGTAAGGTGCATCTTATAGTGAGGTGCGGCTTATAGTAAGGTGCAGCTTATAGTAAGGCGCAGTTTATAGTAAGGCGCGCGGATTATAGTACGGTGCGGCTTATAGTAAGGTGCGGTTTATAGTCCGTTTGAGTCCGTCCCCTCCTTTTCCAATTTAAACATACTCAAAACACACAAAAATACAATCTTCAACATGTTTTGTTAATGGCAATAAACAAATAATGATACACTTTGAGATGTATTTAGCACCTTTTGACCTGATTCCCAAAGTTTCTTGGTTTTTATGAAAAGCACTTGAGGATCCAGAAGAAATGTAACTACATTTATGGACATATATTAACTTGTATGGACACTGGCCATCCGCCTCTAATGTCTCCATGTGTTAATTATTGTTGTCTGTGTAGGCGAATCGTTTCTACTATTGTTGTGATTTAGGGCTATACACAAATTAGACCACAACCTGTTGTCTTCATCTTCATCTGAAAGGTCCCATACTATGCCTTTTAGCTTTTTTCTGATTTAAACATTACAGTAGCCTGGTCGTACCACACCAAAGTACAAATTAAATTTCGTACCAAGGTCTGGATGTGCTCCATTGAGCTCCGTTAACAAGTGGGAGGGGTTAACTCCTTTTGCAGATTGAAACGATTGGATCTTAGTTTACCGTGACGTATGTAGTGCGCCCGAGTGAGTTGTTAGCATTTAGCCTAGCCATCTCCTTTGCCGCTAACGGAGCCTTTGGGGAGTAGCACCACAAGCTTTGTCAGAGATTACATTTGTTAAACATTCCTCTTGCTCAATTTCTTGATAGAACCTGACCAGAAAACGTTATAATTGTATTCTTCGCCATTGCCAAACTAGAAACTGCCCGTTCAGCGCAAACTCTTGACATCACCCACATCTAACTACAACACCCGCCTCCCGCGCTCGCTGATTGATCGGACGGTCGCAAACACAGGGACCAAACCAAGACGTTACATGCAGAGAAATGAAGATTGTTCGGAGTGTACGGATGGCTAAAGCCAGGCTATTATTCCATCTGTTTAACCAGTCGTTTTTTCACTGATTCCCTCAAGCTTTTGTTAGAGAGCGATCTTTCTCTTTCATTCTCGAAAGGGACAAAAACGACTAGTTTCAAATCTGTGACGTCAAAAGCCTGCCTACCAAGAGGTGATTGACAGCGGGGAGAAACCAGCGAATCAGAGCAGTCTATGGTCAGCCCATGCAGCCTCTCTCCGAGTCCAGTGTCTGCTCCATAGACTGCTGCTTTTTTGAGTTAGCTTCATGTGACTTGTTTTTGGTGTAAATATGTGACGACAATTGTTGGCCTGAAGACATAGCCATAGCTGGAACCATAGCCTTAGCTGTACCTGTAGCCGTAGCGGTAGTTAGAGCCGTAGCCATAGCTGACTCCACAAGAATATAAAAGTATGTTAAGTGAATGTTATTGTTGATAAATGATGTAACAGTGTAATCTGAGTCTACAAAAGTCTTGAATAAAAAGCTGATTTGTTAATCCCCGGAGGCTGCGCTGGCTGCTGTGCCATGGTCCTCTGCTTTCCTCAACCCTCACTGAGCAAAAGTCAAATCCTGTAAGAGTCTTTGTCAAGGATTTAAACACGAAATACTGAACGTTTTCCATCAGCGTTTATCAAATGTGGAGCAGACGGTTCTATTTACGGAGCCTCAAGAAAGACTATGTAGTAAATACATTTGATTAGATTTCATGGCTTTAAATTGTCAAAACAATTTCTCTGTGAACGAGAAGATGTCACATGGTTTGGTCTCTAAAAAATATGTCTAAGTTAACTCTTCATGGTTCATGGTACAAGTGCTGTGATAATGATGCATTGGTTTATTTATATAGCGCTTTTCTGGACTCTCAAAGTCTCTTCACATCAATATTCATTCACTTCAAACACAGTGGGGATAAACTACTACTGTAGCCACATCTGCCTTGGGGCGTACCGACAGAAGCGAGGCAACCAGTCTGTGCCATCGGCCCCTCCCACAACCGCCAACCATTCACACACACATTTGACTCATTCTAATGTGGGGGAAGTGTCTTGCCTGAGGACACAACCACAGTTTGGCACTTTAAAGCCGCAGCCGCCCCTTGATTCTCTGGGGTTGTGTGTGTCTTCAGTGTGATTCTCTGGGGTTGTGTGTGTCTTCAGTGTGATTCTCTGTTGTGTGTGTCTTCAGTGTGATTCTCTGTTGTGTGTGTGTCTTCAGTGTGATTCTCTGTTGTGTGTGTGTCTTCAGTGTGATTCTCTGTTGTGTGTGTGTCTTCAGTGTGATTCTCTGTTGTGTGTGTGTCTTCAGTGTGATTCTCTGTTGTGTTTGTCTTCAGTGTGATTCTCTGTGTGTGTGTGTCTTCAGTGTGATTCTCTGTTGTGTGTGTGTCTTCAGTGTGATTCTCTGTTGTGTGTGTGTCTTCAGTGTGATTCTCTGTTGTGTGTGTGTCTTCAGTGTGATTCTCTGTTGTGTGTGTGTCTTCAGTGTGATTCTCTGTTGTGTTTGTCCTTAGTGTGATTCTCTGTTGTGTGTGTTTCTTCAGTGTGATTCTCTGTTGTGTGTGTGTCTTCAGTGTGATTATCTGGGGCTGTGTGTGTCTTCTGTGTGATTCTCTGTTATGTGTGTCCTCAGTGTGATTCTCTGTTGTGTGTGCTCAGTGTGATTCTCTGTTGTGTGTGTCCTCAGTGTGATTCTCTGTTGTGTGTGTCCTCAGTGTGATTCTCTGTTGTGTGTGTCTGTAGGGGAGGCGGTGTTGTCGGCCTGTGAGAAAGCGTGCAGCCTCATCGACATGCGCGCTCACTCAGGAGGTCACCCGTGTCTGGGCGCCGTGGACCTCATCCCCCTTTACCCCCTCGGAGAAGACGTGCTGCCCCAGGACTGTGCCAGCGAGGCCAGAGGTGCAACACACACTCAACAACAACAACAACAACTGTGTCTCGGTGTCTCTGTCTCGATGTCTTGGTATATCTGTGTCTCTGTGTCTTGTATCAAGGTGTCTGGTATCACGGTGTCCCTGTGTCTCTGGGTCTCTGTGTTCTCAGTGCAGGAGTGGGACTAGAAGAATCATAGCTACACACACATCGACATTACTACAAGGACTCACATCAAACTACGAGAACTCATAGAGCCGTCATTTTGACTGCTCTCATTCAAACCAGAAGAATTCTGAAAATATCCCCAAAAATTTACTTTTCAATCAATCCATCCATCCATCCGTCCATTTTCTTCCCCTTAATCCATTTCTGGGCCGGGGGAGTGGCAGCCAGAGCTGCACCCAGTACAGAGAGCACCAGCCGCTCACTGATCCTCCTGCAGGTGGTGAGTCCACAGGGCCCACTTTGCTTCAGGCAAAGTGGGGTTAAGTGTCTTGCCCAAGGACACAACGACAGCAGACATCAGTGGAAGTCGTGAAGTAGGTCTCGAACTAGGGTTGCCAACCGTCCCTTGAAATACGGAATTGTCCCGTATTATAGAAAAACTGTGTGTCCCGTATTGAATGGATACGGAATGGCTTTTGTCCCGTATTTTCAGAGTCGCCTTAAATGCATCACTCACTCACTGCCTGTCAAACGCGCGACACACGCAAACACAAAGTAATCACGCCTTTCGGCCAATCAGAGTCAAAGGAGGCGTAGGATTGATCACATCCATGGGTTTAATGTTGACAAGCTCCAGCGTGGGCCGTGCCCGCAGCATCATCACGGCAGAAGTTGGGTAAAGTAGTATCAGATTCCCAGATTCGGACTTCCGCGGCGCATGTGCAAGATGGCGGACGCATTTGTTTGGAGCCTTTTTTGAACTGCACACTTTTTGGATTTATTTTTTAAACTAAGCTTTTATTACTGTTTTTATTCGTAACAACTGATGGATTAAGCGGATTTTAACAGGTTGTGCCACAACAGGATTACTGTCACTTTTAACTGGACTGTATATCAGCCTTTTAACAGTTACCGCGGTAACCAGCCTGCCCACATACGCCACCATGGACACCGCTGCTCCCCCCGAGAACTCATACAGACAAATCTACAAATCACAACTTGCTTCAATTCTTCCATCCAAACCAGTAAACGCAATGACCCCCGAGGAACTTCAACGCAGTGTTACACAACTATCCACTGAACTCATACATAAAGAGAAACTTCTGGAACATTTCATGGACATCTCATTCAAGCAGTCACAGCAAATATCCCTCTCCGTACTTAGACATTCACAGCTCACTACCACACTCCACGACACTGCTCTTTGGGATCCCATCACCTGTCCTCACCCCTCATCATGCTCTACCCCGGTCCTCACCTCACGTTCCCCGGTTGCGGCTGTTCCTCCTGTCCCACCCGGTGCTCCTCCCTCCTCTACGGTCCCGGAGCCTGCTGCCCATACCCAGAGCGGCGCGGAGGAGAAGGCTGGAGACCACAGAACGTCCACAGTGTCCTCACGTCGCAGGTTGGTGGAGGAGGCTGTGCGCAGACGCTCGGGGAGCTTCCCACGCTCTAAAACAGCGCGGGGCTCCCCGGGTGTCACGCAGGACCAACTGCGGGAAGCCCCGGGGGGATCTCTGTGCCCTAACGTGGCGCAGGATACCTCCGGGAGCGCTGTCCCTGCTGTGGGAGGGTTTGTGTGCTCTGACGCGGAGGGAATCCCCAGAGGCGCTGCACAGAGCAGGTCCTATGCTGAGGTGGCCGCGGGGGGGTCTCTGCGCTACATCACGGCGCAGAGTCCTCCCGTGGACGCTGCCTCGCCCGCGGGGGGGTGTCTGCGCTCCATTACGGCGCGGACTCTTCCCGTGGACGCTGCCTCACTCGCGGGGGGGTCTCTGCGCTGTTGCACGGCGAGGAGTTCCCCCGCAGATGCCACCTCGCCTCCTGGTGGATCCCCCCGCCCGGTGCGCGGCCCTCCCACATTCGCCCACACTACCACCACCACCAACCCGGCCACAGTGGAGTCAGTTCGGTCTCCGGATCCTCCACCCTGCTCCACAGCCGCTCGTGGCGGCTCCGCTCCGGGCACCCCCCAAGGCTCTCCTGTCCCCTGCTCTCCACCAGGTCCCACCCCAGTCACACCCTCCCCTCCGCGGCCTCTGTTTGCACCAACCACGCTCCTGGTGGGGGATTCTATTATCAGACACTGCAAGTTTTTTAATGCCATCACACACTGTTTTTCTGGAGCCACAGTCCCCACCATCCTCATTAAACTACCCTCACTTATTCAGACAGCACCCTCCACAATAACCCGGATCATAATTCATGTCGGCACAAATGACGCTTCACTCCGCCAATCCGAGACCACAAAACGCCATTTTAAGGATCTTTTTAACCTTTTATCAAACTCAGGGAAAACTGTTTTTATCTCCGGTCCTCTGCCCACTATGAACCGCGGCAGGGAGCGTTTTAGCAGGATTTTATCACTCAACACCTGGCTCAATCAAACATCACTCCATCACAACTTTGGTTTTATAGACAATTTTAATCTGTTCTGGAACCGCTACCCCTTCTTCACACCCGACGGACTTCACATCAACCCACTTGGCAACCGGTACCTGATCTCCAACATCACCCACGCAGTCCAATCCCATCCTACATACCTCTGACAACCCACCCCCACATCCCACATCCCTCCTGCCCGTCTATGCCCCAGCATCAACCCCTGCTCTCTTCCCCAGCACAAAATTACAGTTTTGTCCAGACCCCGCCCCTACAGACCGTCCATACCCAGGAAACCGTCCTTCACCAACCTCATCACTGTTTCCCCCTGCCCTCTCTCATCCTCTGCTCCCCCCACTTCGAACTATGGACTCCCCATCAACAATAACAACCCATCTACCATCAGGTTTGCTCTTTTAAATGTACGCTCCCTTTTAAATAAGACTTTTACTGTTAATGATTTGATTTTAGAACACGAGCTGGATGGTATGTTTTTAACTGAGACCTGGCTGGGTCCGGATGCTCCGGCTGCTCTTACAGAGGCCTCCCCCCCCAATTTTAACTTTGCTTTTAAAACAAGAGAAGGAAAGAGAGGTGGCGGCACAGCCTCAATATGCAGTAACACCCTGGCCACCAAACCTATTGTTTTTAACCAATACTCAAGTTTTGAGTATCACTCTCTTGTTTTTAGCAACCCCAAAATTTTAACAGTAATTATTTATAGGCCACCTAAAAAGTGCAGCCTTTTTATTATTGAATTCTCAGCGTTTTTATCACAGTTACACAATTCTTACAATATGATAATTTTAACCGGTGATTTTAACATACACATTGACAATCCCTCTGACAATTTTACCCTAGATTTCTTAGATGTTCTTAATTACATGGATTTTACCCAACACGTCAGACAGCCAACACACAACAGGGGACGCACCCTCGACCTGGTCATTACCTATGGCCTGACTGCGGATGTGTCCTCTGTTGTCGACTTGGCTGTCTCGGACCACTACTGTGTGTTTTTTAACATCACTGGTTTTATACAGCGTGAGACCTCTGTGAGAACCGTGAGGAAGCGACATCTAACCCCTGAAGTGGCTGCATTTTATCGACATCCTAAACAACACTCCCCACTTGGTTTTACCTGCCCCCTGTGATTTTATAGCAAATGATTTTAACAGTAGACTTAGTTCTGCGTTGGATCAGGTGGCTCCTTTAAAAACAAAAATCATAAAAACAAAATCTGCACCCCCATGGAGAAATGACGAAGTACGCAAAATGAAACAAGAGTGCAGGGTGGCAGAACGAAGATGGAGGAAAAATAAAACAACAATCAACTACGAAATATATAAAAACAATCAAAAAGCATACAATTACACAATTAGAAATCATAAGAACAAATACTTTGCAAATCTAATCAGCCAGAACAAAAATCCTTTTTTCAACCATCGACACCATTTTAAACCCTGATTTTAGCATGTCTCTTTTAACCCCCACAGACTCCCTCTGTGAGGATTTTGCAGTCCACTTCACGGGGAAGATAAATACAATCAGATGTAACATTTTATCCAACCGCACTACTGTTTTTAACACATCTGATTGTTTGTCTTCGCCAGAGGAAACACTGGACAGTTTTGTCCTGGTTGATGCTGAGAGGCTTGATAAAGTTTTCTCCTCAGTGAGGCCCACCACATGTCTTTTAGATCCAGTCCCCACTCCATTTTTTAAGTCATTTTATGAATCTTTTAGAGAGGAGCTTTTAAACCTGATGAATTGCTCTCTTCAGACTGGGGTCTTTCCTGCAGCCTTCAAAGCGGCTGTGGTGAGACCCCTTCTGAAGAAGAGCAATTTAGATTTTAATGATTTTAACAACTACAGACCGGTATCCAACTTACCATTTTTAAGCAAAATTTTAGAAAAACTTGTTTTTACCCAGCTCAATGCCTTTTTAGATCAGCAGCAAATTTTAGAGAAATTTCAATCAGGTTTTAGGGTGAACCACAGCACAGAGACTGCTCTTTTAAAGATTTTAAACGATCTTAGACTAAGTTATGATTTCAAAAAGGTGACTGTGTTGGTTCTACTGGATCTTAGCGCTGCCTTTGATACAGTAGACCACACAATTCTTTTATCACGCCTACAACACCTCGGCCTCTCTGGTGCTGTCCACAAATGGTTCACTTCTTATTTAACAGACAGATCCTTCATGGTAAGTTTGGATACCTGCTCCTCTCAGGTCCATAAAATCACATGTGGTGTGCCCCAGGGTTCCATTTTAGGTCCAGTCCTTTTTAACCTGTACATGCTCCCTCTTGGCGGTGTCGTCAGGAGACATGGAATTAACTTCCACAGTTATGCAGATGATACTCAGCTGTACATCTCCATGTCTCCTGATGACACCAGGCCAATGGATGCTCTTTTTAACTGCATTTTAGACCTGAAATCCTGGATGGCAGAAAACTTTCTCCAGCTTAACCAGG